TTTTTTTTTTTTTTTTTTGGTCTCTTTGAGAGAGGGTCTCACCCTACAGTTCAGGCTGGCCTTGAGCTCACTTTGTAGCACAGGATGCTCCTGAACTTGCAATGATCCTCTTAACTCAACTTCCCAGAGTGCTGGGATTACAGGCATGCGCTACCACATCCAACTTTTAAGCTTCTAAACTCCACAAACTACTACTTCCGTCCAAAACCATTTATCTGTATAGCTGAAGATAGAGGAGGAGGAGGAGGAATGTATTTAGAGCACACAGAAATTCCAAAGAAGCCTGTTTCCCATTGAAATGGACTTCCTAAGCTTCAAAATAAGACCCCATTCTTTTCTGCTTGTGTTTAAAAATGACTAAAAAAATTTTAATGCCTCCATTTGTAATTCTAGGATAGGAAATATGGCACCTTAATTTTCTGGGGTCTTGATATACATCTTGTTTTATATATTTATTTATTTTTATTTTAGGACAGGATCTACAGGTTGTTCAGGGTCTCACTGTGTAGATCGGACTCCCAGTGATCCTCCTATTTACAGGCTCCCAAGTGCTGGGATTATAGGCATGCATCACCACACCCAGTCTCCATCGCAGTCTCAGTGTGCCCTGGGGGCGGGGCCAGCACAGCAGGCCGGGGAGTTCAGACTCCTAGGCCCTGTGTCTCCTTAAGCACGGGCTTTAATCCATGGAGCTATTTGGCTGTCCCTTTGGTATACATCTTGGTTACCGATTGCTTTTTTCTTGAGCACCCTACTAGGAGTACACAGCATCTTAAAGTAAAGGATACACCTGCGTGGAGGGAATTTTTCATTTATCAAGAAAAAATTCAAATTATATTCAGTATAATTTTTTCAATGCTAAGAATAGTTGGCTGTGTTTTCGTTTTATGAAAATGATTATTAAAATAATTCGTAAATGGAAAATATCTACCACATAGAACATTTTTTATAATTAAATTGAAGGATTTCTGTAGTGAAAAAATTGTTAATTTTTTCACACATTAAAAAAAATCACGTTAAAAAGATTTACTGTTATCACTTTGGGATAAGCAGGAGGCTGGATATGCTTGTTGGCACAGTCTGGGGTCATTGTGTCACTGTTGTGTTGTGTGTTTTTGTAGCACTTACCCCACTCTGCATCTGCTGGGATTCTTTGGCAGTGATGTATGTAGGTGTCTCAAAGTCCAACATGGGCTTTCCTCGCTCCTTTTCGTATTTTTCTTTGTATTTTACCTAGTGATGAAAAGCCTGGTTAGATACTTCTCTAGCTAATTTTTGGTCAGAAACCAGTTTAAGGACGGTACTTTTGCAATAATATATTATGGCCAACTGGGTCATCTCACTGTCACTCCAGTTTGTGGCTTTCAGATCCAGGACCTTTTTGCTGTTGCCTGGGTTGTGGTGGAGGGATACAGTCACATTTAGACCCAATTCAAGGAGACAAAGAACCACTGACAAGAATCAGCTGAAAAAAACATGGATGCAAAGAAATATATGGAGAAACATACACATAAATGAGAGTAGAGAAGATTTTATTTCTGGCTTTGGTTTTTTTGAGACAGGGTCTCACTATGTAATTCAGGCTGGCCTTAAACTTGCTTATGTAGCCCATAAGCAAGTCTGAACTCACAGAAATCCTCCTCTCTCAGCCTCCTGAGAGCTAGGATTAGAGGAGTGCACTACCATGCCTAGCAGAGACCTGGAGTTTTGGCTGACTCGATAACACATACAACTTTGTTTATGATACATAATTCTCTTGGTCATAATGGGTCATATATTTAATTAACTCAAAATATATCAGTATAAAGATGAAAGCTAGTTTCCATGTTGACTGAATTATTAATAAACTGAATAATTTCAAAGATTCGTACTGTTATTTTATAAATATAATTTCCTTAGAGCATGTGTTAGAAGTGGGGGAGCCATATGAATATTCATAGTTCACAGAGGAAACAGTGCAAGGGAAACTAAGGTCTTGGTTCACATGGCCCCTTATGGCACTGCTCTATCTCAGCTGCTTTTCTCAGGAATGAGGACATCTCTAGTAATGTACCTCTCTGGTGCATGTCCCGAGGGCACCTACATAATGTAGAATTTGTGCTCTAAAGAGCACGTGATGACAAATTCTTTCCTCTGAAAAACCTTCAATTATTTGACAAATTTAACAATTTCTTAATATCTAGAGATTTCTTCATGGTAGATCTGATCATGTCACCTCCTCTATTAAAACCCTCCCCAAACTCTGTCATCTGTTAGTATTTCCTGTCTTGAGATGCAGACCAAGGATGATAGGGGAGTTCCTGGGAGGGGGTTTGTCTCTCCAGGAACGCACTTTTTGTGCCCTGTTACAACTTGAACAACGTACTACATGTGTATTTCTCCCCTACACGCAAATGACATTTCTGATTATAATAATTCATTTCAAAATGTTTCTAAATTCAAATCTCCTCTGTCTTTCTGCAGTATCCTCAAACATGCAGTAAAAGATATAGAAATATTAGTAAGTATATATATACACATATATATATATACATATATATATATATATATATATATATATATATAGAACACACAGAGATAAGAGAGAGAGAGAGAGAGAGAGAGAGAGAGAGAGAGAGCTTGCACAAAATAGAAGATGAAGAGAGGAAGGAGGTCTTTTTCAAATGGAAAGAGGCAAAAGATGCAAAAAAACCAAAAACATTCAAATGGAAAGAGGAACAAGAGATGGAGATGGAGAGGTTGGGGTGGGAAAAGGAATGAAAAAGATGATTACATACAGAACCTTTGCAAATGGGAAGGGAACCAACAATTGGAAGGAGCTGGGAAGGAGAGAAAAGGTAGCAGGTAAAGATCCAAAACCGATGCAAAACAGAGAAAAAAGAATTAAGATGTGTTATGTACAACTACGTACTCCCCACAATAACTAATTATCATACATTACAAGTGTGTACTCATAAAAAAGCAGCACTCCTATCCTTGAGTGAATTCATGAAAATTTTGACAGGTGGACATGTGTCAGCCTTGGTCAACTTACTATACTCTGTAACTCTGTGGCCTCTTTTAGGTGCAGCTGCTCCAGGTTATCTGGGATCGTGTGGTAGTGGCCTTTGCTCTTCTCGTAGTTCTTCTTGTACTGGTACTGAGGGTGGGGGCAAAAAGGCACAGGGGTCGAGAAGCTGCTCAAGCTTCTTAGTTTTCCTCTTTGATTACACATTGTCACAGCAGCATTGTCAAGACCAAACTAAAATTAGCAAGCACTCAACAAAACATTTTCTTAAAAAGTAAAAGATGGAGAGCCAGGTTTAGTACTATCAGTTAATACCAGATGAAAACATTCAAGTTGTGTGGCTTCTTCAAAGAAGGTGTTAAAAGTTAAAAATGAAAGAAATTCTTTCAGATGGTAGTTCTACGTCCACAGAAAGAGGAAAAGGAATGGTTAATTGGGCAGAAAAGTTTGAATATTTCAAGAATAGAGGCATTTTTGCTTTCTGAGAGGCATCATGGTCAGTGGAGAACTGGCCGATTAATGTCACTAGGACAAGTATACTCAGACAGAAGAGCTTTGTAAGACATCTAGTGTGTGAGCAGCAGGGAAGGAGGCACGTGTGAGCTCACAGAAGGCACTGAGCTGCAAACGAGTGAAACCAGTTGTTTCTGGAACAAATGACTGAGCTTACAGAGCTGGCGAGCTGGCTCGTGTTGAGGACGTGGTTCATGATCAGAGACTCCTTCATGTCTGTCACAGGCTTGTGAAGTTTTTTCAGGTCGGCCTTGTATTTAACCTGTGTGGCAAGGGAGGAAAAAGGAAAGGTGGAGTTAGCGCTTAATTTTTTTCACCAATGTTTTTGGACCAGTTTTGCCTTTTTATAACTGGTAATCTGAACAACTAATTTGAAGACAACAATATACAATACAACAACCACTGTGGTATACATTTTATCAAAATTCTATATTGTTTCTGTTTTTAAATTATTTTTACTCTCTTTAAAAAACTAAAAATTAGAAAGGAAATGACATAAATAGGAAACAGAAAACGGCACTAATGAAACTCTCAGAAATAAATGCTAGATGGAATTATAAAAAAACCATAGCTGGTTCACAGCAAGCAAAAGCGGAAAGAAAAACCTCAACTGTCCATTGACAGGTGAATGGACACAAAATCAGTAATGAAGTTTTGGTACACACTACAGTGTGGATGAACCTCGAAAATATTACACTAAGTGAAATAAGGTAAACACAAAAAATATAAACATTATATGACTACTGAGATAAACACTGTAAAAAAGGTAAATACGCAGAGGCAGAAAGGAGAGAGGGGAAGCTACCAGGGGGTGAGGGAAGGAAGGGAGAGTTACAGAGATTTCATTTAGGATGATGAAAATCCTTTGGAAGGAGTTAGTAGAGACAGTTGAACAACATTGTGTGCATAATTAATGCTATTGAGCCATATACTTCAACATGGTTAAAATGACAAATCTTTTACATTATTTTATAGTGTTAAAACATACCTCGCTTGCAAGATTATTAGCATCTTTCATGGTTTTATAGAGCTGGCTGTCTTTTGGATTGTATTTTGGTGCCTTGCCCTTCTCTTTGTCGAAGTTTTCTCGGTATTTAATCTAATAGAAAAATCAAATTTCCAAATTATTCCTGAAAACCAATCTATCAAAATCAATCTAGGAACTGTGGAATAGTGAAAACACAAATGCCAAAGAATATGCACATGTTATATGTAAAGAGAACATGTAATTTATTATCCAAACGAGGACATTTTTAGAGTAAAAAAGGAGCACTATTATAACTATCTATTTGGGGCACAAGGAATCAAGTATAAGATCAAGTGATACAATATCTTTCTTTCTTTCTTTCTTTCTTTCTTTCTTTCTTTCTTTCTTTCTTTCTTTCTTTCTTTCTTTCTTTTTTTTTTTTTTACCAGGGATTGAACTGAGGTCCTTGCGCTTGCCAGGCAAGTGCTTATTCCACTGAGCCATCTCCCCGGCCCCAAGTGATACAATATTGCATTTGCTACTCTTTATATTTTCCAGACTTGTGAAAATAATCTCATTTTAATGAAAAATAAAAAGAAGAGGAAAAGTCATCAGTCCAAATTCAGAGAATCAATCTAATAGACTTGATTTAGAGAATTGTGTACTTTTTAAGAAAACCAAAACAACATAGGTCTGCAGTGAGGAACTGGATAAAGGGTTACAAAATGACCAAGAGGACTGAGAAATAAGAACATTAAATTAGGAGAATTTTTTATTTTAGAATAGTATTTTGATTATAAAATCCATTTAAAAAATAAACATTTGGCATTAATAGTTGCTGAAAAATGTTTTAGTTGAATGAAAAGAAGAGATAGTCATTATGCCTAAGTAAAATATCTAAAGAAAATGACTTATAAGAGAAAGAAATGGAGTATCTAAGAGATAGAAGCTTTAAAATAAAACAAATTGCCCCGTATAGCGGCATATGTCTGTGATCCCAGCACTCTGGAGGCTGAGGCAGGAGGATCACTGCAAGTTCCAAGCCAGCCTGGGTTACAAAGTGAGTTCAAGGCCAGTCTGAGCTGCATAGTGAAACCTTAGCTCAAAAAGACCAGACTGATTCCATTGTCAATAATATCGGAGGATTAAATCCAGAAGCAGAAGTAGGATTCCACTTCTTGTTCACTCTAGGGAGAACAGAATGGGCTATTTCTACAGGTTAGCTAACTAACCAGCTAACTAACGGGCACTGTTTAACTCGCAGGGAAACCTCAGGAGTCTGCGACAGGTAAAGTGAGTTTCCCTCCTCCAAAGTCAGCACACCAGGGCCGCTACGCTCTGCGGCATCCCGCAGCGGGGTCCTCACGCGTCCCTGCACTGGCACGCGCAGCAGAAGGCACACAGCGAGAGACCACCGAAACGCTAAAAGCTGCGAAGGCCGCTGCGCGGGAGAAGACACGCGGGCAGCGCCGAGATTCCTCTACTTGGAAGGTCTCAGAGCGAGAACGCAGAGACAAAAGAAGCGCGGCGCGGGAAGGCAGGGCCAGCGGCGCCCTCGCTGCCCGGGCCAGACGCAAAGGCAGCCGCAGGCCGCTGTGCGGCCGGCCGGAAGACAGAAGGCGGAGCGCTGCTGGAACAGCTCTTCTCTGCAGGCATTTGCTCTCAAGATAAAGAAATGGGGAGCCTGAGAAGGAGAGTCAGAAGCCGGAAGCTGGCGTCAGGACCAAAAGACAACTTCTCCATAGGAATCAGAACCCCAGAGGCCGGTGCGTTCCCGAAAGTGTGCAACACCAGTGAGAAAGTAAACTGAACGTGGGGCAGGGGGGCAGGTTGGGGGGGGGACGAGAGGTGGGGGAGGGTGCAGAGGCCCGTCCAGGGGAATACAATCTGCTTCTAGAGGACTCTGAAAGTCCTCTTGTATCTTGTAGAAACCAACACATTTCTGAAACTATATTTATTCTGCGGAGCAGCAATTCCATTGGTTTCCCTTTAGCTTCTTTAGTTTCAAGATAATTTTTTTTCTTTTTTTCCATAATTTTGATAAACAAATAGCAATGAGACAGTTTCAAATCAAATTGGTAGGACAGTTTCAATAATTAACACATTGCATACATTCCTCCCAGTGGTTAATTGCTGT